TCTCTAAACAAACTGTGGAATTATTATGGACATGCGCCATTATTACTGCATGATGTCAGTTAAACATACTTTAGCGCAGGGCAAAAAATTACCTGACATGGACAAAACTACTGACACATTAATGAGGTGGTGCATGAAAGTGAAATAGAGATTTTGTATGTTATGTGTGGTAAGTTTGATAAAACTGGTCTCGAGAATAGCTAACTCAGTCAAAATGAAATGGCGTGGACAGAACAACAGGGAACACCATGACACACCCCACTCAAAACCGTTGGGCAGACATGTTCTGACGTCACTTGTCGTTGTTGATGTAGTCAACCACTGGTCCAGACTCAAGTGAAAGAAAGCTGGAACACTGCTGCACAACATTAACACAACACTCACTCACTAACTCGCCCACGACTAAATAAACCATCCATGATGGTGTATGGTATTTCTGCAAGATGGCTGACAATAAACAGATGTCGTGTGCTATGTAACAACAGAAAACACAAACAGCTAGGAAATTAAGATACTTTTAATCAGTACAGATTAAAGTAAAAACTGAGGTTGAATCTTGTCTGAAAAAGCCAAAATGTTCAAGTAAAAACTAAACGTTTTTTCAAAGTATAACACGTACACTCTACATTTCTAAAAAAAAGCCAAACCCGCAAAATGTCCGAAAGGTCCGAAAAGTATAAATAGTGTTGAAAAGGTCCAAAAATGCAAAAAGTCACCAAACATTTTGTATCTATGATTCGATGTAAATAATTAATATATGACACAATATCCAAAAGGTGAAAGATGTCACTATGAGCGTCCATCTTGACATGGAACAGTCTCCTCAAGAATCCAACAGGTATGAAAATGTCACTATAAGCATCCATCTTGACACAGAATAATTTCTTTAAGAATCAAAGAGGTAGCAAGATGTCACTCTAAGCGTCCATCTTGACATGGCACAATCTCCTTTAGAATCTAATTGGTAGCAAGATGTCAATCTAAGCATACATCTTGACACGGAACACTCTCCTCAAGAATCCATACACACGTGACAGGAAGATTCGAACTGGGGACTGGGTCGGGGTGTCGTCATCATCGAGGTTGATATCGACGAAGTGAGGGGCATCACGGAGGACAGGGGTAGAGAGAGGGGCAGGGAGGGAGGTGGGAGGGACGGGCAGCTCAGACAGGGGCTCAAGGATGGTCATGTATCTCCCAGTAGGACGCTGAGAGGGAGGGAGAGAAGGACATGAAGAGAGTGACAGAAGGTGGAAGTGGAACAAGAGGAGGAAAGTTGTTAGATGGATTTGCTAAAAATATAATCATGATTTGAGAAGAATGTTAGCGTTTTACATATGTGGTTATTACTGCTCATTAGTGTTCAAATTATTAGTGAGAGTTATGCTAGTAACAGATAAAGTGGATACATTCATGAATACAAGACACACAATTTCAGGTTTACAAAATGACTGATTCCCTAAGACACCCACTTGGCAAGGAGGGGCCCAGATGTCAAAGTTCAAAGGGAACCTGATCACGAGGTCGAGAGCTGTCGGAAGAAGGAATGAAAGTTATGCAAGTATAAATACAAGAACCTCGACCCAACTGTATTAAAACTAACGTCTTCATTAAACCCAAACTCTTCATTAGTTGAGACACCACCAAAATGGGTAAGTTGTAATTATTGTAAGTGCACATTATTGTACACAAGTAACCTGTTAAAATGTTTGAATTAAAATATTGAAACTTATGATGTTGTCAGTTAGGTAGAACCTATGCAATCACATCATATATAGTTAGTGAATCTGCTCCTGATCGTATGTAGTAGAAGTAGCTTAGAACTAACCACTTCAAACGATATTTCAATAAAATAATATTTTGAAATAGTATAATGGAACCTTTGTAATCACCAACTGTGTGCTTTTTCTGAAAACAATTTTATCACTTCAATTGTGAAAAAATTTAGAATTCGTATGGCAGTGGGTTAGTTAATGTTGGTTAAGTTCTAGGGAACCTCAATAAGCACCAATTGTGTACATAAACGCCTTACTTATCGTTGTGCTGTGGGTTTTCGGACACCTAAGAACATGCTTTGATGTCTCGGTTATCACATAAACAATTGTCACAAACTTTTATCATTAACGCAAGCCATCTTTCAAGAGTTCAAAATGTCTCTGCGAGGCAACACCCCTCCATACAGCCCGAGTTAGCACGGCCGTCAGAAGACGCATGACGTCCGAAAACCGGTGATCCGACAACATTACATGTTTGTCGGAAGAAGAATGGGGGTTTGAAAACATTGTTTGTCCAGTTTAGATCAGAACAACTGGGTTATAACAGGATTTTAAAAGGGGCTAGTAAAGTATCATGGATATGGCCTTAACAGTTTGGGGTGACAAACGAATCTCAAAGAATTTAGCTGCACTGCTGGCATTTGTTGGTCAAACATAGTGGCCTTAGCTTCAAAGCTACTCCGTGACCCTAAATCTATATCAGAAGGGATAATCCCAGACTACTTGACATTCATATTTGAAACCATTGTCAGCTTTAGACACTGATTGACTTGTAAATCTCACAGGGTGTAGGTGCTAAATCCAATATACCGTTAACTCGTGGATGCGTTGTTTTTCCCTGTTTCGTTTGGAAGCTTAAAAGGCCTCAGTTAACGTGAAAAACATATTAGCAATTCACAAATAGTCATCCTTGATGACACCAGCCGGCCACAGTTTCCTACTTCATGTTGAATTAAGTAAATAAGTCATAACAGAAAGCAAAGGGACAGCACTAACTTAAGTAGAAATAAAGAACTACCTTGAGTGTACGAAGTCATGGTGATAGTATCTGGAGATGAGCGAACTGCGAGGCAAACGGTGAAGAAAACTGGCAGTGTGACGGCAATGTGTGATAGCGACAAAATGGCGGTATCAATAGTGAAACTGTCGTCATAGCGACGTCATAAATCTCGCGAGATCGTCATAGCCTCGCGTGATGTTAACGCTATGACTGGTTTTCTTTGTGCTCTTCGCAAGTCAGGATCCCAGCCATGTTACCTGATGTCGCGAGGTTAAAAATGGCTGATCATGGCTTGTATATAGAATGTCTTCATGCCAAACAAACAACAAACAAACAGACGATGCAGCATCAGTGTCCATCTGCCAATAATAACTACTCAAAATACCGATATGATGTTAAAATTTAACTCACTCACTCACTACTCTAAATATGATTGTAAACGTGTTTGTACCACACCAATTCGATTTGAAACAGTCACTTTAGTCTGTTAGTTAAAACACTCCACCCTCGAAGGCCGGGCAGGACAACTTAGGAATGGCCAGCCAGTCCTAACTTGACACACAGAAGGAAGCATGCTACAAAAACATTTTTTATATCATTGGAAAGATCTCAAGGAGATGAATCCAAAAATATAATGTGCAAGTGTGTTCATATGTTCATAAGCTCACAAATTGGCTCTGAAAATGCATTTCTGCAGAAATTTCTGGCAGATTTTCTTTTTTCCTGCAGAAATTTCTGGCAGAATTTCTGGCAGAATTTTTTTTCTGCAGAAATTTCTGGTAGAAAAGATTTATAATATGGTCTGTGTGCCTCTGTTGCTTCTATAAGTACCCTAACTGGACAATGGAACACTGAATTGTATATGGCAGATGTATAATCCTTGAAACCATATTAAGCAGAGCCTTCATTATTGTACACCAACACACCTTAAAATTATCTAAATGAATTGCTCTTTGTGAGATTTTACTTTGAAATTATCTAATTGCAGTGTGCAAGTAAATGTGACTTTCAAAAATGTAACAGCCTTTTCATGAGGCCAGCCAAATATAAGAATACTTGGTGAAATCCAACAATTCAATCAAGATGAGATATACTATCATAGAAAGCAGATTTAACATCAGACAGTGGGAAAATAACACAAACAAGGTCATATAACATAACTGCATGTATTGTTTCATAAATGCCATACACCACATTACAGTTACACATGCTGTACATATACAAATATATATATATATATATATATTCCAAACAGAAAAACATACACTTTGGTGTATTTGGTTTTGTTTATGGCAGTCTGGTTGTAACAAAAGAACAAAAAAATTAAAACTTTGACAAATTATAACAAGAATAACATGTAAATAATGAAATATAGGTGAGGTGAGGGACATACCACATAAAAACTACAAAGATTTCTTGTGCAGATGTCGGTATTATTGTGACATCTTCAAAATAAGTTTCAACCAACACAAATTTCTCAGTTATTTCATCATTATTCTAGATCTGAATATCCAAACAAGATTATAGCAAATGTTTAATGTCATCGAAAGAATGGATGAAAGTAGAATTGTATCTGTGACAATTTTGACAATACTGTGTTACAAAAGAGACCTATAAGATGTGTATATCTTAAAACTAAATAACTTTTTGTGATAATTAGTTCTTTCAAGTTGCATTCAAACCATTACATCAATCACATATTCAATTTATACCTCAATTATAACACAATTTGATCAATAAGTACATCAAAACACATGATAATTCCAAGAAAAGAAGGAACTTTCTAACCATGACAGGGGACCATTATGTTTTGTACCTATTGTTACCTAGACAGGGATATTTACAAGGAGAATAATCGATATCAGACTTAACAACTATTCCAACAAGAACCATCAGAAGATGACACAATCCCCCCGGCCCCCACATATTTGAAAGAACAAATCATCTGGCAGTTACTTAAAGTCCAGCTTGATTTTTTTAGACTAAGTCCAAATCGCTTCCATGGAAATCATGAGAAATATAAATGCCAAAAATCTGCAAATAGAAAAAGGCACCACTTCAAGATCTGTTTGATATGTCTGCCAAGTCTTGCAGAAAGATAATGAAAGGTTTTCAAGTTGAAACCCACCCCTCCCTTATGAAACTAACTCTGAATCGTTTCCAAGGAGCCAGGAAAAATAAAAATGCCAAAAATCTGCAAATAGCTATGTCTGTATGACTCATACATCTGCTAAGCTCTGCTGAAAGATATTGAAAAGTTTTCTACTTGTGACATAGAAACAAAACCCACCCCTCCTTTTTGAGACCAAAGTCCAAATCGTTTCCAAAATCTACTTCAATTTAATTTGTGCAAGCGATTGACAGTGAGGCAAAAGCAAATTTAGCTTGTGATTATACAAAGAAAATGTTCAGTGCATATATATACATCGCATATACATATTTACATCAGTGTTACAATCAGGCCACCATCTCAGAGTTCCGCTGAGGCTTGTCTTCTGTGCTTTGTAAGTGATACCTGAAAAGGAAAAGGAAAGGATAATAAGAACTGACATACAAAGATAAGTGAAAAACAGTAACAGCTTAAATCGGTATTCATCTTGATGTCTGGATGTTTTATACATTCAATGCTCTCTAACGCTGTATAACAGATGACAATATAACATTTTGTTAACAATTGGAACTCAATGAAAATACCTTTGATTGCCTCTGCATTTTTTCATTGCTTCGCTCTATTGCCTCTTGTACATTTCTTGGGAGGGTGTTCTCTTCCCTTGGGGCAGGCATGAAGGGCTTGAAGTCAGACAGCTTGATGGCCAGAGTGTGAATGTCCCCCATCTTTCTAATGTAGGACACCCACCACAAGCCTTCCTCTTCAGACAGCCTGGTAGATGACACCCATTTGCCCAAGTCTCTCCCCATGGCTTTACAGGTGTCATCTACCTTTTCCTTGTCCAGAGTGACAGGTGTGAGTGTTGACAGGTCAACCTTGAAATCCAATGACACCTTTCTGTAGGTTTCACTTTCCAGAGGCCAATCTTTATAAAGCATGGAGACCGAGGACCCCTCCATTCTGAACACAAACACATGTGCCTCCTTGTGTCCTTTAGGTGAATCACAGTTGATAAACAACTGCCTCATGTCCCAAACACCATCCAGTACAGTAGCAGTGGGCTTTGGGTCATTACTGCTGGCAAGGACTTGCAGGAGAGCATCACGTGTTGCAGCAGGTTTCTGTCTCAGCTCCCTTGCAAACACGCTGAACAGCTGGTCCACATCTTCATGTGTGTGGCCCACCATGAGAAATGAAAGTTTCACCTGGAAAAGAGTATCACTATTAAAACACACATTCAATTGTTGGATTATTTCAATATCCTGAGATTATAATAAAGAATGTTAAAGATCCTCTTAATGACCTCAATTGCATGCATTCCCACACTGTTAATGTAAATATGTTGCAAACACATACCTTTTTGAAGATTTTCAATTTGACTAACAATGCCAAAAAATACAGTACGGTCTTGTTCTTGTTATCTTTTGGCGAATTGTCTGCTTGTAAATACAGCGTTTCTGGTAGATGCCCATGGTTCAGCTGAAATAGTAGTTTTTAGTAAATGAATTAAATACTATTTCATAGCATTTGTGCAGGAACAAATTTGAAACAAATGAACTTAATGTTTCGTGATTAATTAGGCAATGACTCATATTGAATATATATAGTAGTATTACCTGTGCAATTCTACTGAGGACATACAGAAGCACTGTACAAGTTACATTTGCATCGCCTGGAATACATGTATTCCAGACAACAGCATGGGCTGCTCGGTTTCCATGATCCACAACACCTGTCACGTGGTGCTTGACATGTGCAAGGCTGCCATCAATCTGAAATGTTTGAACATTATTGAATTTTAATTAATACCTGTCAAAAATCTTCAGGAAAATATATCAACATTCATTACACAAGATAAGTACATGAATTAGGACAAATTCATTATATTCAGCTTTTGAAATATGAGTTTCAACTGTTCAATGGTTTAAGGAACCTGTGATTCAATATGTAATCATCACACATGTGTACCTTTGATTGTTCTGGAAATACAGGAAGGTTTGTCTTGTTTTGGTCCATGTTGTCAATGATGAGGGACACATACTTGGATGATGACCTCTTTGCCTTGTCCCCATGTTTATAATACTTCTCTCGAAGTAGCCTGCAAACACAAAACATTTAAAATAGGAAAACAATATACTTACATACATACACTGAACCTGTAAACAACCACAAAGCAGTGAGTGGCCCTTTTGTGAGTTGCTAATATTATTTTCTCATGTTTAATATCTCGTGATGCAAAATCCATTTTTCAAACTACATTTTCATTAACTTCATTCATTATTACAGAAATAACAAACCTTTGCAAAGCTAAGTGTCCCTGTTTTGCTTCTTTCAAGGCCATGACTTCTTCCTTTGCCAAGTTCTTTCTTTGTAGTGCATCTCTATACACGATGCATAGAGAGCATTGTGTGAAATCCTTTGACTGGAACAGATGTAAACAATTTCAACATCATCATGATTTTGTATTTATTCATAACACTTGTTGTGAGAACACTGTACTGAAAAATTACAGGGGTATCACAGTAGTTTATATAATTGTAGTAACATGAAACAAATACATGTTGACAACTTGGTACTTGGTATACCCTACTTACCTTCAGTATTTTCACGGATGAGAAGAACTCTCTCCAGAGCTCCTTAAAACGGCTATACCCCATCACCGGCTTGCCCTGATCATTGTTATCTTCAACATAGGCGTAAAAAATTTGCCTCTTTGTAAGGCAAGATGGCAGCTGGATTTAAGTCTTGTGCGGCATGTGGTCTCCATGTCTGAAAACAAACATACAAAAATATTTTGTCTGTCTACATTGATCAGTGATTTCACACTGTGATTTCAAGGACAGAGACAAGCAGCGGATTACTTAAGACCCTTAGAAATGGATGGGGCAAAGGAAGAACAGGAGCTGTCTTAGACAGTTTGCACTGATATGAAAACAAAGCTATCAACATGAGTATATTCAGTATATTAGATGCTGTGTCATACAAAGAATAACCACCAATAATAATAAAGATGATATGATGATGCTTTACAAATGTACATGCAAACCTACCTTTTGAAATACTGATCCAGCCACACCTTTGCCTCCAGGTACTTCAAGGAATCATACTTCTGATCAGATCTTTGATCAACCTTTTGTGGTAGGCAGTCCTTCACAGCTCTCCCATGATGAAAAAATCTAAAAATAAATTTCATTATATATCACAACATTGTACTTAACACAATTCCTACATACACAAATAGGATGAAAAAAGATTCCGTAAACCCACTTCTGAAAGAAATTTACGAAAGATCTGTCTTTTCTTCACCTTTACAAGATTACCTCAACAATTATGCCTAACTTACCTGGTTTTACTGATCTTGAATACAGTACACCAACAAACACTGCAAACTTCATGGCCTTCAAGGGTGAAGAGAACATCTGACAGTCTTTGTTCCTGATATCTGAAGACTGCTCTCAAATTACTATTGATGAAGCGGCTCTGTTTGGTTTGTGTCTTCCTCCAAAACGACAATCTCAATTGGTGGATAACTTCAAAAGACAGTTTCTTCATGCACTCTTTCACACAGCACTTGGTCACCAAAGCTTCTTTTATGTCTTGTGATATTAATGCCTTCTGTTCTCGTTGTCCACATCTCTTTGACCTCTCCCTGCAAAACATTTTCAGTCATAACTATATCTGAAGCAATATCTAGGCTGATGTCCTTGAACATCCAGTGCATTATGTTTCCCTTCAAATATCATAAATGACCATGACTCCCCAACATGGCATACGTTACAGGCAATACCTCAAATCAGTGATTATGTGCAATCCATTTTCATTAAATTTATACTGTCAAGAAATATACATATTCTCTTATTGCATATACATGATCACCATATGTCACACCAGAAACTGCTTCATTTGTGGCTGCTAGAAGAATGAAATTTTTGGAGTAAAATTAATATTTTATACTTATCCTGACTCATGCTTATTGCTTGTCTTCTTCTTCTTGCTAACATAGTGGAACACGTGTATCTCCCAATTGAAGTTCCCTTCAATAACAAATCACTAATTAGTACTCACCACGAGTTACCTCCCTTCCACAAGCGCGTGAACGAGGGCACCACCTCCACCCATGTGCCTCACTCTCCCCTTTTGTTTTCGAGTCCGACACTTTATTTTTCCAAGAAATCCAAAGTGTTAAGTGGGGAGGACGGAGGAAGCTTTTCTGATGAGTCAGGATAAGTATAAAATATTAATTTTACTCTAAAAATTTCATATTTTTCCTTATCCTGACTCATGCTTATTGCTTGTAGAATCCGACGGAAAAGGAGGTGGGAATATATATACTTTGGATTTTAATAATTAGTGATTTGAACTGTGATGATTGTAATAACCCTATGGGAACTTCATAAAGGCACTGAACTGATGAATTCCTGCTGTTAACTTATCAGCTGCCATATAAAGGTTATTACAATTTAGTGAATATGATAAAAGTATATACAACATTAATGTAAGCTGAAGCTATTAATGTGATAGTATAAACTTCTGTGAGTTTATAGTGGATACTTTTATAAATGAACCAAAGTATTAAGCTTAAGATATGCATATATTTAAGCTATAATAGTATAGTACTGTGCTTAAGATATAATTATAACTTAAGCTGTATAATAGTAACCAACTCCTTAGAGTTTGTTAGCTAATACATTTATGAATATGACCATAGGATTGATTGATGAAACTTAAGCTGAATATATATATAATAGCAAACTCCTAGGAGTTGTAAGCTTATATATAGTATGATATAAAACCCATAGTACTGAGCTTAAGATAATAAATTAAACTTAAGCAAAATATATAGATAGCATGTAGCTATTAGTACTGTTATCAGATAAGTATAAAATCTGTAAGATAGACTTATCTTCTCCGTGGAACTGTCAACTGTTGAGCGAGGACCATGGGACCGAAATGGTGGATACCTGAGACGTCCTCGGTGGTGATGTCTCTCAGATAGTGGTTGGCAAACACCATATCGGATCTCCAGAAACATCCCTCCATTATGGTATTCAATGAGCAATTCCCATGTAGAGCGAGAGTTGAGGCTAGCGCTCTAATTTCATGAGGATTAGAAGCTCTTGGAGGGTCGAGTCCTGCAGCCTTGTAGGCACGTAGTATGACAGTTCTGATCCAGATAGAGATAGTAGTACGTGAGACTTCCGTCTGCGTAGCTGTAGATATAGGGATAAATAATCTCTTGAATTTCCCTCTGCTCTGTTTGGATCGTTGGAGATATATTTTCAGTGCCCTTACTGGGCATAGTGATAGATCCATCGTATCATGCGGTCCAAGTATGGATGAGAGAGCTGGGACATGGAATAATCTGTCTGGTTGACCTGGCAGTTGGTTTTTCGCTATAAAATCCCAGCGAAGTCCCAGATGAGCGATGTTATGCATATCATCAAAGCGTATTCTCTCGTAATCCAGTGCGTGAATCTCTGACATCCTGGCGGCCGTAGCTAGTGCTAACAGGAATAAGGTTTTGTGGGTCAGTGATTCAAACAATGTAGATAGCAATGGTTCATAAGCCTCACTAGTGAGGTGTTGGAGCACTATATTTAGATCCCAGGCTGGAGCGTGAAACTTCCGTTTCTGATCCTCCAATCGGAACGCTCATAACAAAGCGAGTAACTCTGGTGTTTTTGTTAACTTGACGCCCGTTCTCATAGTTATGACAGAACTTATAGCTGCAAGATAAGTGGACAAGGTTGAGCCTTTTAGATTCTTAGTTTGACGTAGATAACATAAGAAATCTGCCACTTGAGGATGTGTAGCATATCTGGCTGTAAATCCTTTCTTAGCAGCGTAATTGACAAAACTGTGCCATTTGTCATCGTACAAGTTACGAGTTGAGTTACGTAGTGCAAGCGTGACCGCTTTAGCCGCTCTGGCAGAATAACCTCTCTTATTCAGACATGCCTTGATACAATCCATACGTGAAGTTGGAATGCTTCTGGTGTTTCGTGCACTTGTTTGGTGTGCGGATGTATCAATAGATTGGCGCGTTGTGGGAGCTGAAGAATTGGTTTTCCGATTTCTTGAATGAGATCTGGAAACCAAGTTCTCGCTGGCCAGTAGGGCGCGACCAAGATCAGATGGAGGCTCTGCGTTTGACTGATTTTCTGTAAGACTTGTGGGATTAACGCTGGAGGCGGGAAAGCGTACGCGTTGAGTCCCTCCCACGATATGCTTAGTGCGTCCGTTGCCCATGCTAGTGGGTCTGGAACTGGCGATAATGTAATGTTGTCAGTTGCTTGTTGAATCGAGTGGCGAATAGGTCTATCAGAGGAGATCCTATTTCCATGATTATTTGATTGAATATCTCTGTGTTGAGCATCCATTCTGTCGGCGACGGTTGGTGTGGCCGAGAGAGAGCGTCTGCTAATACATTCTTTGCTCCTGGAATGTGGCAAGCTCTGACGTGTATGTTTAGATTGTCGATTAAATCGAACAGTCTGAAACATCGAGTCAGTAGGTTCTGTGACCTTGTTGAACCTTGTTTGTTCACATAAAACGCCACTGTTGAATTGTCCGTGTGAACCATCAACTGAGCGTTCTGTAGTAGGTTGCTCCAGTGACTTATGGCGTTTATGACTGCTTGCATCTCTAGCAGATTTATGTGACATTTGCTCTCTTGATTGCTCCATAGGCCTGACGCTGTCCTGCCGGCAAGGTGGGCTCCCCAACCTTGTAGTGACGCGTCTACGTAGAGATGTGTTTTCGATTCCGGCTCTACTAAGGAGACGCCTACGCAAACATTCAATCTCTTGGTCCACCAGAGTAGATGTGGTTTGACATAATCTGGTAGACTGAATGGTAGAGGGTCCTCGAGATGAGCATTGATGAGGACTTGTAACGGGCGTAATTGAAGCCTGCCTCTGACAGTCAAGTCTTGAGCTGATATGAGTAGTCCCAATAGGCTCTGCCACTGTCGTAGTGGTAACGGAGAGAGTAGGGCTTGAGGAATAAGTTGTTGGATCTTGATCCATCTGTCCTCCGGGACTACAATACGATTCTGAGCTGTTAGAAATCGTATAGACCCGTGAAGGTCCGGGTCTATTAGAATAGCCCTTCAGCAACCCATGCTTGCTATAAAAGGCGACTATGCTTGTCGTAAAAGGCGACTAACGGGATCGGGTGGTCAGGCTCGCTGACTTGGTTGACACATGTCATCGGTTCCCCATTGCGCAGATCGATGCTCATGCTGTTGATCACTGGATTGTCTGGTCCAGACTCGATTATTTACAGACCGCCGCCATATAGCTGGAATATTGCTGAGTGCGGCGTAAAACTCAACTCACTCACTCACTCACTAGAAATCGTATACCTAGAAATTGCAGATCCTGCGTTGGTTCTAGGTCCGACTTGAGTAGATTTACTAACCATCCTAATTGAGTTAGTAGCTTGATTATGAAGTTCAGCTGTAGTCTGAGACGCTGTGGATCTGGATCCACTTGTATACCGTCGTCTAGGTAAAAAGCGCTGCGAAGACCTTGACTATGTAGGTATGAGACAATAGGCTTGGTCACTCTTGTGAATACCCAAGGGGCCGATGTGATTCCGAAGGGAAGAACCTTCCATTGGTAATGTTTCCCGTCTAGGATAAATCTTAGATATTTCCTTGAGTTGGGATGAATCGGAATGTGTAGATATGCGTCTTGCAAATCTATGCTGGCCATGTAATCTTTGGGACAAATTAAATGCCGGGTTGCGGTAAGTGTATCATGCTAAACGCTGGTGGTTTGCATAGATATTCTCTGTTGAAGATGCTCATGTTGTATATGAGACCTAAACTTCTCCTTGGAATTTTTCTTAACGCACTAGGAAAACTGGGGAGTAGAAACCTGGTACGATGTTTCGTTGATCCAGAACTTCTAAGGCCTGTTTGTTTAGCAGAGTAGCTACTGTTTCTCTTAACATAGGTAGTTGTGCCGGTTGAACGTTGAACCCTGTGGGGGTGACTGTTAACGGAGGCTTGGCCTTGAGTTGTATTAGATATCCGTGCTGTAGGATGTTGGATACATATGGATCTTGTAGTATTCCCCAGTTTTCCCAGTGCAGCTGAAGGCGTCCACCCACTTGAGAAGGTTGTACTGGAACGGCTGGGGGTGGAAGACTCCAGTCGTTCCGAACCTGAATTTCATCGTCTAAATCCACGGCCACCTCTGGATGATCTGCCTCTAGCTGATCCTCCCCTAAATTTGCTGTATGGGCTTAACTTTTAAAAGAATCCTTGGGATCTTTAGCTGCAGCTAATTTCTTGTCCCGTGCTTTCTGTAGCCCCGAGAACTTAGACTTGCCCGAGTATCTCTGTGTTGACTGTTTAATGACGTTCGCTAAGGTATCCATGGATCTGATCATAAGTACCTCTCTCGAGTCTTTAGATACTTCTTTGGAGACCTTGTCTATGTTGCCACCAAACAGTAAGGGCGATGACCATGGAGCTGTGTATAGAGATTCTGTGAATTGCTTATCCCAAGAGCAGGAAGCTAGTAAGCCTTGCCGACGAGTCATGGTAGTAGTTTCAGTAAGCGCTGACAGGTGCTCTGTAAGAAATTGGTGGTCTCTTTTCTGCATGAGTAGAGCTGAGTAGATCATTCTATCTTCCTCCTCTGTAGAATTCTTGAACTTGGTGATGAGAGTTTCATTAATAGTTCTAGATCTATTCAATCCAAAGAACATTCTCCTGGAGATGGTATCTAATTGGGCCAATTTGCGATCGTCTACTCTGTAACTTCTGGACTTGGCATCACTGATTAGTTTAAAGTTGTCATCAATATCCTGGGCCTTGGAAAAAGGGTCCATATTGTGTCCAGCAAATTTCTTGGCATTGAAGACCGGGAAATGTGTAGATTGGACTTTCGAAGATTTGGAACAGGCTGTATCCAGATTAGCTGGTACCGCTGCAATCGGGTCAATAGGAGGTAAGGTGATATTGTCTACATCATCATCCTTCATCAGGTAAGTCTGAGTTGAATTCTCGTTCTTCGATGGGGAAGCAAGTTGTAACTCATTCACCATCCAGTATCTAATCTCAGCATCTGAGAAAATGATACCTTCCTCCTCTTCTGACGTAGGGTATCGTCTTGGTATCCGCGAGTTCCATTCTTTTTGCCATCTGTAGGAAGATCTATTAGAGGACTGTGGTGAACGGACTGACGAGTGGCTAGTGTAAGGAGACTTTGGAGGAGACATCCTCGGCGAACGCTGGGGGCTTCGCGAAGCTCTTCTAGATCTTCTGGGCGAGGTAGATTTGGAGCCACTTAGCCTTCGCGACCTTCGCAAATGTATCGAGTCAGTGTCCGAATCGACATATGAGTGCTTGCTTCGCGAACGACCTCTGTGTTCTACAGGGTGTGGGCTCGGCGAAGCGCTCCTTCTCCGCGATGTCCCTCGCAACTGGAGAGGCTCTAGCTCCTTCGCGGAGGCTGCCTGGGACTTCCTTTATGGCGATCGCCACGGGCTGGGCTCTTCGCTGAGGCGCGTTTGTGGGCTCTGGGGCCCTACACGCGAAGCCAAGGCGGGCTCTGGGGCCCTGTATGACTTATTAATGGGTTGGGCTCTGGGGCCCGTGGCTCTGGGGCCTCTGTAAACCGTAACGGTCCTCCATCAGTCTCATGATTTGGTTAACCAGGTCGTCTGGGATGGTCTGCGCTGGCGTTGAGGGTGGCCTCTCTGTGAAAGTGACGGGACCCTCAATCGTAAACTCAGGCGTCAGCGTAGGCATCTCTGGTTGCGTGTTTATCTGCGCTGTAGTGACGGTAGCAGATACTGGACGTTTCTTATGACGTACATCTGGAATGATAATCGGAATGTCATCATCATATAAACATAATTCTGAGACAGGTAGAATATCGGAGGCAAAATTATTTGTAGTTTTCGTAGATTTCCCTTTTGACGAAGCTGTGGACCTGGGGTTCGAAGCGTACGTTGAGATGATGTGGACGCTTTCCTAGTCTTAGACTGTGAAGACGGAATGTCTTGAGATGCAGGTCGCTTCTTGGACATAGCGGACTGCGTCCCACGCTTATCCCCCGAGGGAACTCAGGCAGGCCACCAGCCGGTGGCGGGTCGTCAGTCAACAGTTGACAGTGTATATTAGCTTCCGATCTATTAGCCATGACTGAAGATTGTTTGCTTAGATTTATCTGCCTTCCGCCTCAAAACGGAACATAAATATTTATCAAAGGCAGAAATTGGTAAATTAATACATAATTTACAACGAGAAACAATAGAACATGGAGTAATGCAACTAGGGCATTTTAAATGTGGATCGGTAGCTGAATAACGTGAAGTTTACAACCTGTGCAGATTCTCATTAACGTAAACTGCTGAACAAACACGGCTTAACCGCGGAATAAAACAGCAGAAACACGACTAATAATCAATGCAAGTTGAATAAGGATACTAGTTACACCTCTATAACTGAATATAAGAGGTACTAAACTAAATATAAGTAAAGGATATAGTGTGTTGGGAGACACAGGCGCTCTCACGTCCAGCTCACTGGGCGAAGAAGGAGAGAGTGAGGCACATGGGTTCAGGTGGCGCCCTCGTTCCCGAGCTTGTGGAAGGGAGGTAACTCGTGGTGAGTACTAATTAGTGATTTTTTAATTGAAGGGAACTTCAATTGGGAGATACACGTGTTCCACTATGTTCGCAAGAAGAAGAAGACAAGCAATAAGCATGAGTCAGGATAAGGAAAAATATTAATCTCTCTAGTTTTTGAGTAATGAGACAGAAATGTTTTCCAAGAAAACATATACATGTTTGTAGCCAGGTTGATGGAACAGTTAGCTACAATGCAGTGTTAATAAAAACTAGAGAGAGACATAATCAGTCTCATTTTATCAACTTGCGCATGAGTTAGTATGGATCATTTGAGAAATTCTTCCGAAAATGTTAACAATTGTCAAAAATACATCTGTTCTAATTTAGGCAATATTGAAACAACAATAAATGAAGCACTTTCCAGGATTATGTCTAAAAATGTGTCTAAAAATCACTGAATATGTGAACATTGAACATTTTAGGGATTATGCATTCCTCGTAACACATTCACAGATGAATTTCTTATTTTGTTTGCTACATCCTAACAATAGAACAATTCAATAACCATTAATTGTGCACTCACTTGGAAGAGATCTAATTGGCCGTCTGTCAGAATATGGTTCCTCACTTGAAAATGGTGCCACTGAAATACAACATTAAACAGAAAATTATTGTTTGGTTTGTTTCCCACGCTCGGTAATATTCAAGCTATATGACACAGAACCAGAAATCTAGTGATTGAGCATTATATTCGGCTGTCAAGTAGGTTAGCAAACCTGACTACACGATCGCCTACTGACATGCATGGGTTGGTGAAGACCAATCTTAAACCAGTTCGTCATGGGTCAATGCATTTGTAAACATTGCTATCACTTTACAGATTGAGTACAATCAGTGATAAAAATATTCTGTACATGATTTTGATACATGTCTATTGTGCAATAGCACTAAAAGTGATACCTTGGGTTGCAGTGTCAACAGTTGTCTGACTGAGAAATGGTGGTGTCTTTTCTGCTCCTGCAAATGAAATACATCATTATTTACTTGTAAAATTATATTCTCCCTCTCTGACACAAAAACAAAACATTCTCATAAACCCACAATGCCTCCAAACTTACCCAAGGCCAGAAATCAAATTTGCTCCACCTGTCCCTGCCCGTTAAAAATTTAAAATACCTGCAGAGCAGCAGTGTCACATTGACAACATAAATACTGACATCTCTATTGAATTTAATGAACATACCTGTGGAAAGTAATCCTGACCCACTTGACAAATCTTCAAATTTGACCAATCTTCTTATCACAGGTGTTTGGCCTCCTATGTAAAGATTGAAAGAATGATTAGAAAAAAGTCATTTTGCTTATTCACAACCTTTGTATAAACCAACAATTTTAAATACATGGATCTTAGGCTGATGCATGCTAACACATCAATATAAATATAAAGCTCAATTAGACACACAACAAATGGTTGTGGTATGGGCCTTAATGATAGACTGAAACAACTTTACAAACTGGACCCTTATTGTTACAGATTGTTTTGAGAACTGTGCATGTGCTAATGGCTAATTTCAGCTCATGTTACATCAACAATTTGAAGAGAACATACTGTTAGTATTACTGAATGAAACATTTATTCCAATAATTTTGTGTATCAAGTTTTGGATTTAATGAGCCCTAAAAATCCTTACAATAAAATATAGTAAGGCTTCGTTCATTCACTTTAAAGGTCACATAAACCCTAGGGGGTACAAATACATAAATCACTAACTGGCATCGTTATAAATGAAACCCCGTCATTAAAACTACTCATTTCGACCTTTAATTGACTTAAATCGACCTTTTTGACAACAGTGCACAATTCTCACCCGCGAACGAAATTTCAACCAATCAGAGCGGCACGCCTCTGTGACGTCATATGAGGAATAGCTTTGAGGGCCGATGCAGAATTCATCTACATTTTAGGGGTTAAATTATCTTGTTTACAGGCTTGTATAAACCTGAAATCGTGACAATTGTTGTGGAAAATGAAAGCTATATGTTCTCACAATCTACTGTCATTTAATTTTGTCTCCTGCTTTGCCTAGTTTCCGAGTTACAACTTGTTTTCATAGACGATTCTGTCAAAATCGCTTGGTGTCGTTAGGCCCTATTTGTATAATGACTGATCCAAATTGATCCAATTTCTGTGTTTTTTTACCTCGATATTTAATCATGTCATGTAAAAATCTGTTTGTATTCTCAAAACAGTGTCGGCCCATAAGTTTTCACATGCAATACAGCAATTAATACTCTCTTGTTGTAACCCGTGTTAGGTGGTATAAACCTACACATGTTATTTCACTTGATGGTCAGTTAATGAATTTATAACAGGTATAATTAGTGGTAACACACGTAGATTACCCGACAAAGGTTCCCATTTGGCATTTCTTGTGTCTGGAGTAAATATTCAACATTATAAACATCGATCAAAGGATTAACCGATAACACGCTGATTGATTAATTACTTTTATCTTACACAGCGGAATTGTCAAAAGGTAGTGTTTATGTGTGTAGATTTACTAATCTATACTGAATACACTCTGTCGTCGTCGGTGTCTGCGTAAAAAACAACGTCCTTCTTTCAAAGGATTAACCGGCAATACATTGATTGATTGCCCATTATTGGCTAACTAAATTACTGTTTTAAAGAAAGGCGGACATTATGCAATTAGTTGCCAGGTGTGCTATCTTGGGTGACCAATGAGACTATACACCAATACCTGAATAGATTTATCACTTTTTTTTCGTATATTAAACTGTTAAAAGACACATCATTTGGAACAGTTTAGTGGATATTGATGGATGCATTCCCCGAACAAGGTAATGGCCTGATATTGTTCCTATAACTTTAATCTATTTTAATTTTAATATTTGCATTTTGTTTTTATTCATTTGTCGTAGCATTCAACAGAATCATTGTTTTCGCCGTGAAGTGTAATGAGACAGACAACATGCACTAGGGTGTGTGTGCGAATTATGATTCACATTGGCAAACTATAAAATGTCTAGATATTACAGTTCTGTTATAAATTCACTATAAGTATCAGCAGATCGTCTGCTTTTTATTTAGTTTCAAAATGCATACAAGTATGATAATAAACTAATTAGGATTATAAGACCAAATATAAAGACGCACATTGACTAGTATCTACATACTGGTGAGTGGACATTAACCATGGGAATGTAGCAAGAAATTTATCGCGCAGTATTGTGACTTCGACCCCACCTCGCTTCCGTGGAAGAAATCGTTATGTTATAAGTTGTGTCATGCAAAATCCGTTTGGTTATGATTCCAATACATATTTAACTACGAGTAGAAAGTAGTCTTGATTTTCTAACTTGATGAAAACAAACTATAATCTCATTAATTCTAACAGATTTTTTATTTTTAAAATGGCGGCATTCTGTCGGGAACATCCGCCAGTCTGAGGATAAATGGTATTTAGGTTTGTTTTCACCGAGTTACAAAATCAAAACTACTTTTTCTACTGGTAGTAAAATATGTATTTTATTGATGGCCAATAGGATTTTGCATGACATAGCGTATAACATAACAATTTTCTCGTGGCAGCGAGGTGGGTGTCAATATAATACTACTTACAATATTATTGTTACTTCGACCACAACCTCACTTCCGAGGAAGAAATCGTTATGTTACAAGTTGCGCTCATAGAAAATCTTTATGGTCATCAATCATATGCATATTTTACTACAACTAGTAAGTAGTTTTGATTCTTTAACTTCCGTGAAGGATCTGAACACAAGTAAGATATCGTTTCAGGCTTCCACAACGCTCGCTTCGCACTCACAAACATAACCCATTTAGCACGAACTGCGGGTCCTGTGGAAATCTGTGCATGGGGACACCATCGCCCGACCCCTAGGAGCAATTGACGACAAAGCAACGATTCGGCATGTCGTCGTTGATGTCGAGAAATCATCAAAATGATGAGCGTGCTACACATTTTCTATACAACTAACTGAAAATCGTTCCTCATATGACGTCACTGCAGTGCTCTGGCGACAGAGTTACGTAACCTGTCTGTGGTTTCGTTGGCGGGCGAGAGGGAAGCAGGCGACTTTTGGCCACTTTTAATCGCTCGGTATTAATTAACCACAAGTTTTAAAGAATAAATTTGGTGTTCCGCATAAGACTAACCACAAATCTTTCATATGTAATGGTTAAAAGAGTAACAAAACAAAGTTTAGTGGAATGCCACAGAGTTGAGAAAATAAAGTTACTACTATATATATAATATAAAAATTAAAATATTAGCATCCCTATAAACTGTAATAAACAAACAAATTAATACTGTCCCACTTGTTCCAAAACATTTGTAAACCCCTCTGATACAAAACAAAAAACATTCTCATAAACCCACAATGCCTCCAAACTTACCCAAGGCTTGTCAAAATCAAATTTGTCTTCTCTCCACCTGTCCGTTAAAAATCGAAGAGGGTCAGTGTCACATTGACAACATAAATACTGACATCTCTATTGAATTTAATGAACATACCTGTGGAAAGTAATCCTGACCCACTTGTCAAATCTTCAAATTTGACCAGTCTTCTCTTCACAGGTGTTAGGCCTCCTATATGTGAAAAATAGAAATTATTATTGATTCCATGAATGTTTGTACAAAAAGTTAATAGAAATATCAATAAATGTCAGCATACAATTCTTTCATTAAATTTGTTGTACACATGAGGCAGATTTATTGATTTGTCCAGTAGACCAGGGCTCCAGATATTTTTTCAACATCAGGAGTACGTACTCCTTATTTTTTCAATATAGGAGTACTGGAAAAACATTTAGAGTACTGAATGGAAATTAGTAATCAGTATTCTTGTGTTTCGTTTGGTATATGCCCCACAACATTGCATCTCGCGTGTAAACAGGTCAATAAACAATAAAACATTACTTTTTCATATAAATACGTCTGTAAATGATTCGTACACCATTGCCGTTGTGCGTATCGTCTACATTTTCTAAATTATTTCCTATCGTATCATGCATATTTTTTATCCGTACATACGTCGATACGGCCCTTATCTGGAGCCCTGGTAGACTATTATATTTATAATTACGGGATTCAGCTCATTAAACCAGATTTAACAATCTTCATGGGTAGTGCATTAATCAATTCAACATGTTTACTCTGGATACTGAATGCCTATACATTTCATACTCACGCAATCATGCTATGATATGTAAGGGAAAAGTTCACAATGACATCTTAAACTTCTCAAATCATAAAATCTTTTAGTGGTACACGTTAGTCGAGATGTCTTTTTCATGAAAATAAGCTGGATGACTTTTTGAAACCTCACATGGATATGGTGAATAATCCCAGAAACATTCTTGTCTTTTTCCCCAAACTCTCCAATCACCAAGGCACAGTATAAATATTAGGTATCATGTAAAAAACATCTGACCATAAATAACTTCAATGGGTTTTGATTGCAATATTATAAAAATGGCTTTTGCATTGAGACTGGAATATATTCATATATAATTTATATATATTTTATATATATTTCATGTAATGCCATATTGTATTATGGAAAATGTTTTATTTCTTCAATACTGAATCAAGCTGTAAACATATTCTAATGCAGGTTGCAAACGTGTGCATTCAATCCTGTCTAAAGATTATATTTTATTGATTTGGGCAGGTGTGTATTTCACCATACTTCCACCTGTATCAGCCTTGACACACCTGTTTGTGTAGGCCACTTCCTGTTTATTCCAGGTAATTAGCAATCACTGTGGTCAACTGATCTGGATCTGAATTACTGGGCTTGGGGTACTGAATTACTGGGCTTCACCATAAAATTAATTGATCCATGAACAAGAAACTAAAAACATACATAAAGGCGAGAATTCTTTGAAGTAGTAAGTTCTGTGAAGTTGACATCCAAAATAATTATCGCCAATATGTGTTTCAAAGACTCTACTGTGTTCAGTACGTAGTGTCATGAACATATCTCCCAAGGTCAGATAAAGGTTTGAGGAATGACGTTATGACATCAGATATTATTGGTTACGTTCTAGATCTAGTGTTATCCTATACTGTATAGTGCATTTTTCAGTTGTACTTCTTGTCGGAGATATAGAGCTTCCTAGGAAATTATAAATTTAGAGACAACTGAGAAGTAGATTTACCACAACTGTACTTGATACGAAGCTAGCGTCTCATAAGTTTACACGCTCACGTGTAGGGCTTCCACGGGTACTCGAGTACTCGAGGACGAGTCGGGTTTAGCCGGACTCGAGTCCATTTTCTAGGACTCGAAAAGGGGTGATAACTCGAATTATTGGGTTACGTTGACAGACTGTCTGCCATGTACTGAGAATGAGCGGCCGTTAACATCTAATCTTAAGATAAGATATAACTTTATTATCCCCGAGGAAATTCTTATACATCCAAACTGTCTCAAAATGAATATGTACACAATTCACAAAAATATACACAATGATTACATGCACAAAACGAAAGCTATTTACACAATAAAACTGACATGATGTAATTCAATTAACCACATAGGTAAAGAGGCTGAATAATTCTAGTTGTTATCACATGGTGATAATTCAAAATATTTGTTGCATTCACGAATACTTGATGGTATGAAAGACTGTCGAGCTCTGTTTGTTTTTAAGGGAAGGTAATCGACAGCAGCGTCCAGAAAGAAGTACTTCAAAATGGTGAGATCAAATATGTTAACTATCAAATCTAATTTTAGTTGCCTTTTTGACAATCTGGCGCTCATAGATAAAGGGAATATACTCGAAATTTTGTCGGCAGTATTAACAATTTTGAAAAGTTTGTTTTTGTTGCGATCAGACAGGCCCCATACCAACATAGAAAATTGTAGGTCAACACACTTTGAATAAAGGTTTGATAAAAAACTGTCATTACGGTTTTACTCCTCACACGGTGTGGCTGTATGGTATTAGTTGTTACAAGTCTGCAGATGAGAGTAATTATTATACATCGTTTGAGATTTCACTTCTTAAAATGATTAGGTAACGATAAGGAGAACGATAAAAAAATCAAATGTATGGGCGTGTCCTGATCTGGATAGTGAAAAGAGAAAAATAACCAAATGCCGCCTGTGCGGTATATTACTGCGCTATGCAGGCAGTACAACCAGTACGATGAAAAAATAAAACATTTGGCAAGTAAACATCCAAATACGGATTCTGACCAATAGGAAATGTTAGTCACACGACGATATGAAGTCGGAACGAAGTAAGTGTTCACTTGTGTGATCGGAACACATGTCATGCCGGTTACGCTATCTTTTGTTTGAAAGGTATGAATTTCGAGTACTCGGGTCCGAGTCGAGTCTCACCCCTCGAGTCCCAGAAAATGGACTCGTTGAAGCCCTACTCACGTGCACGTGATAACCCTGTCGGTAGCTGGGACAGTGCCACCCCTAGCACAAGCCACAAATGACACTTACCTGGTACAGCACTTAGGTAACGCTAATCAGATGCAATGCAAACCAGTATCTACGTTCGTATCTCCTGCATGCTTTCTTAACTTGTGAAAAATGATAAAGTGTGCGCCGTGCTAAGGTCCGAAACGAAGTTTAATTGTGAAGAAGAAACAATGAGAATTGTTTATTCACACCGGGGATTCGTCTAAAATATGGCGTTAAACTGTTTGAAAATATTCCAGTCATAAGCATTCATTCATCCATATTGTTCGAAACATTCTATTCCTTGAACATTCATCTTACCTCTTTCTGTGCCTTTCCTTTTGGTCAGAATTCTTGAAGAATGGTTTCTGTCTTTATTGGTGATGACGTTAGTATGATCTATAAACGGTTGAAAAACATTCATGAATGACAATATCAAATGAAACGTATTTTATATTTATAAAGAATTCAATACCAGCATAAACCAGACGTTGTTTGAGACTTACACAGTATTTGGTATCAATGAAAAATGTGAAATCATTCTCACCCATTGCAACGACGTCCAAGCTGAGCTGATAGCTGATGAAGGTATCTATAGTACTTCTCCCTGATACTTTTTCAGTTATTTGCCGACTTGATAATTAGGTCTCTTTTCACCGTCTGACTGAACGCTCTTGAAGAATGAACGAAATGGAACATACCGAACTGCTCACGCCACTATATACACGCCAGTGTTGTACATTGACAAAGGTCGGGCGTCGATGATTGGTATTGCAAAACAAACACGAGGGTGTATATCCGTGAAACGTCATGCCTGACTTACGCACGGTAAATCTCACATTCATATCGTTCTGCAAATTTGGGGAGAAGCTGTGTACACGCTGTCTTTGCGAGCTCCAATGATGCGTCCTGTTTGTCAGCAACTTCAAAGAGCGGACATCTGGCTGCTCCACCAGGTAGGTATAATTACCCTCTCCATAATGCACTTTTGTATCGTTTGTATTGAATGATGGTACCCCATAATCGGATTGGGCAGAGTAAACCTACATTTCTCAAACATTGTAATCTTCAGTACCTCATTGAGTAGGCCTACAGTCATTGCCATGCCGCTGGAATATATTCGGGTAGATTTGGAATCACCCCATCGCATTCATGAACCGTAAATGCACAATGGCACAGGCAACTTGGTCTCTTTCTGTAACAAATAGTACTTTGTATTTCAGCCACAGCAACAATCCCGAACCACGTGCAGTCAGCAATGTTAAACCGCCTGCTCAACGTACTGCAAATACTATACAGGTGAGGGGTTAATATGGTATTTATAATGCTTGATTTACAGAAAGGCCGACCAAAGAATGTGGTATTAAACTATTTTGATCACATTGGCATTTTTATGCAGAGCAAACTAAATAACAATTAATCAAATGTTTTCACAAACACCTGTTCATCTATATGTAATTTGTAGAAAAGTATGCATGTATCATGAATCGACCAGCCTCCCTTAATGCATGCATGTGTTGGGCGACCTTTATTTTTGTTATTTTTGGTATTTCACTAGAGCCGAGTTTTTTTGGGAAGACAGATATTAGGTAACAACATAAATGCTTAAGTACCATATAAATGCTTCCTATTGATATATCTATGCGAGCAATTTGTAAAAATTATTTGTAAGATATAATTAATTAGATATGAAACATAACTGTGCAGGACCAATGTATATTGCATTAAGAAGTAATGTTAATGTCTTCCTAAAGTCAAGAACAATATCACCATCTGGTGTTGATCTGAACCAACAAAACCGAGGCAATTAAATTGCCTCCTCGGGTATTGTCACTTTGAACAGTAATATATTGTTCTCGATGTAGTTGGGGATGGGGGTGATAATGATCTTTTATTGGGAGCTTGTACAATGTGAATGCACCCCCTAAGATATACGTTTAAAGTGACCCCCCTTCATGTCATGTACAAAATCCATGAACCCCCTTCCCATAATTTCAAAGGATATTTCTATTTATTTATAAGAATGTTTACCACCTCCAACTCCCCAGAACACCCCCACCCCCACCCCCGTCCCTAACTCTGATAATACTACGGTTATATTTATCTTGTCAAATACTATGTGTGTTAATGATGCTTGGATCTTCACTTTCCAAATTTATTCAATAAAATCAACCCTCAGAAAGACTTACATCGCCGAGGTATATAAATCTATATATAGTGGACTACAAACCCCACCCCACACCCCCACCCCCATGTCATGTACAAAATCAATGACGACCCCCTAAAACATGGGTGCAAAATTGATGACCAGATATTTTCTTTTCGTCTTTCGATTCCTATTTTGAAACTCAAGGGGAACTACTCTAGATTATGCAGAACGAAAACGCAGGAAGGTGTATTCATTCATAGTAAATATTCTTTGTCATGGTTTCATTCCGAACTTTTTACATCGGACACCGGATTATGTTGTCGGACTTAGAAGTCATTTCCTTATTTCCCTAGTAGACATGGGCCTCTCGGAAATTCGAATTTAACCAGCAACGCCGAAGCATTCGAACACATTTCCTTGGCTGAGGTAGGCGTTTACAAATATTGATAAGTATTCGACATGCCTTGATGTACAGACAGAGGGCAACATCGCGGTTTATCGGTCGCAGCTTGTAGCGCTAGTGATGTTAATGCTGCATGTGTAGGTACAAGTATAAAACTTGTATTAAATGTATTAAATGTTAAGGTTTTAATTTCAGCTTCATGATGATGTCGACATTGAGTGCCCCATACACAAGTATGCAGTTACTGACAACTTATGGAGTGACCTGTACAAACGAGAGGATTCAGATGACTTTCTGGAGACACTTGACATGCTGATGGGTGTATATAACGTTACAAATCAAGGTAGAAAAATTATTTAATATATTTTGAATGATATTATTATTTACTTCTTGACAATGTTATCAGTTTAATCTCCTATTTCTTTAGGAGCTGACCTGGTTCAAAACCCTCTGGATACATCTCTGGCAGAAACCACACCTACAGATGTACAACCCCTAAATTTCAAAGCTACAATAATGGTATGTTATTCATGGTTTTTTTTATTGGAGAGAGGTTTTCTTACTGAGTACTCCTTTCTTGGTAAATTATACAATGTTGATCCATTCCACAGACCACTGATGCAAAATTAAGCATGGGGTCATTATCACATCCCAAGTTTATGTTGGTTTAGATTAATCTAACAAGTTTTTCGATAAGTCAAAGTCCCCACCCTTTAATTCTATACACTACAGACCAAACATACTTCCTGCACTAATGAATTTACAGTGTGTAAAATGTTTCATTATTTATTTCATCCAGGTTTTTCGCAACCTTCACCCAAGATCAGGTAAAAGTGAGACAACTCCTCTTGGCAGTGCGGATAATAAATGGAGAAAACAGTGCCAGGCGGCTTTGAAACCTACAGATCCATCACGTGTAAGTGTTACTCAGAGCATGTCATGAAGCAGTTCACTTATAATTCATTGTTGTCCTTTTTCCCTTGTGTTCTTCAACCTATTAATATATGCATACATTGTTTTTTACGGTAAGATTACAGAATACCGGATACCTTCCTAACTCCTAGGGTTAGGGTAAGGTTTAGGGTTAGGGTAAGGTTTAGGGTTCGGGTTAGGGTAAGGTTTAGGGTTAGGGATAGCGTTAGAGTTAGATAGACGTGAGATTAACAATATGGTTGGTATGTATCCGGTATTCTGTAAGTGTACCTTTTTTACGCGTGCTTTTTCTTTTCAATTTACTTAATTTTGCCTTTCCAGCATCATTTTGGTGGTCATTTCAAAGTTCACCTTGCAGTAGCTGCAACATCTGACAGATGTTATCGCCTCATCCTTGAGATCATGGATTTATTCAGCCTTGGTAAACTAAAGGAGCAGAAACATACAAAAGTGAACACATGTCTGTTCTTGGAGACTGTTTCTTTCAAAGATGAGGCAACCCTTTACAGACTGTTAACAGAATTCAGAAACAGTGAAATCTCCAAAGAAGAATTCAATCTTCAACTGAAACAGATTAAACAAGCAAACAAGGTATTAGAACAGAATCAGATCTAAACTTTGAATAAACAATAATTCCTTCAGTTAACTTCAACACGAGAAACATTTATATGGTTATATGACGATTGGCATTAGATTAAATTGACATGTATATTATATTTGAAGGGAACTGAAATCAGTCAGGAGGCAGCTACCGATGTATTGGTATTAAAGGAACAACTGAAAGAAAAGGACAGACTGATTGAGGAGCTGAGGATGCAGAACCTATTACTAAGACAGGAACTGAATAAGATGGTATGGTTCACTTGTGTAAATGTACATTCATTTTTCTGATTCGTTTGAGAATCATGCTTACAAATGGCCCCCAGAAACCTATGCTGGTCAATTAGGGTGACTAAACAGTTGGGTGGTCAGACTCTGTGGATTGTGTGTCATTCTTGATGGTGTATCATTTCTGATAACACTAGTGGCGGTCCGATTAATTGAATGAATTGAAGATTGGTCGCAGTGATGAAACAACCAAGCAGTTGATCATATTTTCTCATAATCAAAAACAAATTTTTTTTGATTACTTGTTTACATTAACAATATTTTTCACAAGGTTGGTTTTGTCTCTGTCATTAAATTTACATTAAAGACTCCAGGAAATTTATTCCTAACATTCTAGTCCTCCTTCTAAGATGTGAAATTTGCAAATGCATTTTGTGCAATTTAAAAAAAACACACACCAAAGAACTACTAGTACATGTTTTTCCATTTTTTGTGTGCAATAACAAACATTACAGGAAATTTTGATAAATGACCCTCACCAATTATTTTCGATGATTGATAATGAACCAATCATCAATTATGAGATTTCAACCAATTCCCAACACTAGATAACACCACACTCGGTCATACCTAAAATACCTAGTCTGGAAATACCATTGTCACTTTTTCAGAGAAAAGAGAAATCACAGCATCTACAAGATTATCGGAACAAAGAAACTTTGCAAGAGGCAGAGAGATTGCCTGAGCCTGATGTGAGGATAATTTTGTATTTGGACTGATTAATTTTTTTACTAAAGTCAGTAATGAGTTTTCAATAATGATCATTCAAAACTGTCATGTCATGTCTTCCCAAGCATTCACAGTATTGCATCTTGTCATGCCAACATGCCCACCAGGAGAATTCTGATGGTTTTTTTAACAATGTATGATGAGTAATATAATAGTAGTGCTTGTGCATATTTTTATGTCATGTCATGTTCATTCACTTGTATCAGTTGTTGGTTGTTCAATGCACACCTGGCAATATTCCAGGCACTTTGAAGACACCTTGTAACTAATTTTTCTTATTGATATCATATCTGCTTTAAAATATAACATTAATGATAATGCCCACCGTAAATTGTTTATTTTCTTATTTATAGGTGTATGCATTCAATGATAATGATGATGGCCGTGACTTTCAAATAACACTAGTTCAGGTGAGTTACAGTAATTCCTTCTCAATGAAAACTAAAATGAGTTAATGTCATTGAAGATCTGAAAAACGTTAATGGATTGTCTTGGTGGGATTGTATTACTCATAAGAAATAATATCATTTGTTAATAATCAGCATTTTCAACTGAATTTTGCCATTTTGCAGAATATACTTCACGAGGAATCGGCACAGGAACATCTGGAGGTTAGTTAATAAGCCCACATGTACAAAATTAAATTTTTCATATTACATGTATTGTTTACCCTTAATGACAATCTTCATCCTGCAATTGTGTCTGAAATGAGTTTGGAATCAACTCAGCAATTCCCTACTTACATATATTAGCATATATTTGATGTGAAGCTGGTAATTTTATTGGCAACTATGGTAAAATTCACTGATTAGAGAATAACAGTCTGTGTCTTCTTTTTAGAATATTCTTGGCGTGGAATGTCCAGAGCTTCCAGTAAGTATTTTATTTCAATTTCAGATTCTGTTGCATGTTAAATGTCAGGTATACACATGGTTTGTCAATTGAAACTGAATGTAAATGATACATATTATGATACACTTCATCCAATTTATGTTTCTTTCTGGCTTGAAAAAAGCAGCTCATGTAAGTTTTGGCATCATTTTCAGGTGATATCTTACAAAGGAAGAGCATCAAGAATAGGTAGAAAGGTAATTACACTTAATATATTTAATATTAATTAAAAACCTTTAATAAAGATAGACAACTAAACTAAACGAGAAAACAACAAGCATGGTGTTTCATTTTTGGGGATTTGTTCATTTTCTGCTTTGTTCTGATTAAATGCACCAGTGAAGTTTTTAATAACTAAACTGATCAGTATGAATGATTTCTGCTATCACAAAGTTTTTGGTTTGGTAAATTATAGAGTGGTATTCAAAGAACAATGATGTCATTCATATTTATAAGGTATCATACTTTCTTTATCAGACTCTTCAATCAAGTTCAAATATTAGAAGCTTCAAGAATAAAGCACCTGAAAAGGTAGGTTATAGAAACCTTAAACTGCCATCTGTGAATTGGATATATATGAAACGCTGAAGGTTGAATTAATGATGTTTTCAAACATATATTAATTTTTACTTTTAACCTAGATATTCCTAACTTCTTTGAGTGGCATTATTTAGATATTATTTTATATTAATTTTGATATTCCTATTTTAAGATAACAAATGGTTTTACACTGCTTCAGTTAGCTCTTGCCACAATGTTCCATACTCTATCTGTACATGTCTCTCATTGTAATCATCTTCCCTATGCTAGGTCATGGAAAAGGAATGTCAATGAAATGTCGATGTTCATATCACTCAGCCAACTGACTTCTTCCTACTGGTCATGATGGCAAATAGAAACCTACTTGTACAAGCTTCTATAAGATGGACAAATAACATGCGAACAAATCTATTTTCAGGCATCAAGGCTTGCAGAAACTGAGGAAATGGTAAGTTAATGAATATATCTACTACTAAATGGCCTAATGTTTTTGTTATATGTGAATACCGGTATGTTGTCATTGATATAATTTTTATGTAAAACAACATTTTCTTTCAGGCTGAGTCCTACTTGCAAAAAAGGAGACACAATAATGAGGTGAGCAATTATGAAAAGTGCTAGTCTGTACTGCTGAGGCAGTGTTGGTAAACTGTTTTCTCGTCACCCTGAATACCTGGGTTTGATTCCCCAATTGGGTAAATTGTGTGAAGCCCATTTCTGGTGTTCCCCGCCGTGATATTGCTGGAATATTGCTAAAAGAGCCGTAAAACCATACTCACTCAATCCAATGTTGCTGTACTGCAGGTATCAATTTTGTCATATCTAGACTGCACCAGTGCAGGTAAAATATTGCCAGTGCCGGTAACATGTTCCACCACAACTGCTTGGCATCTAGTGACATTTCATGGAAGGTCAGGGTCACTGTGTCAGAGGAGAATTATTCTTGTAATTGTGGACCAGTGGATTTTGCCGTGCAGAAATGGAATTTAACTTATGAATGAACATGTTAGTTCAATTGCAACCATCTATCTAAACATGCGTCAGACATCAAGTAATGTGAACTTTTATGGAGAGAGTGAAATTGCCCAAGAATATCCCTCACACACCTGTTAAAGAATCATCCATGAGAGTGATAACTATAGGATTGTTGATAACATGGTGCAGCCAGATGGCGGAGCCTGATAAATCACTTGTTTGCACCGGAATCATCCCCTGCTGTACATAGTTGCCAATATATAGATGACATATAAACATTAGGAAACAGAAATAGATGGTTCAATGACAAACAATGCTGTGTTATTGCTGTGTGGTGTATCAGTGTTATTAGCTATGACACATCATCTGGATCATCAGTATCAGTGTTTCTATTGGCTATGACTTATTGTCACACAGCACCCAGTATATATTATGGATCATCAGTATCAGTGTTTCAATCAACTTGGTGAATTTTTAATGGAAAAACTCTGAAATTAGACTACCAAAATAACAGTGAGCTGACTAGTCCATTGTACTAACCATGCATATCATGGATTTTGTCCATAGATACCCCCCTGCAAACTCAACGTTGGAATGATTGTGGAGGCATTAGAGGATGACGGCTTTTGGTATGTTATTATTGTCATCATTGTTCAAAGAAACTTCACATTTGGAAATCATCACAAATGCATGATTGAGTTACATCAATTCTTATGATTATTTTCAGATAGATTTGCTAAGGTACTGATCATCATTTGACTCAAAATCAATAGTTGGACCCTCTTTCATTCTGAAACTCCTTGAAGGATGATACTTTTTGTGTCGCTCAAAGAATTGCAGTAGTTTATTTTTCATACCTGAAGTGATTCTGCATATTTGGCAAATCTACAACAACAAATTTGATAGGTTTGAAATTAGCAAATATCATTCCCATCTCTCTGGTTATTACTACAGTTACTTCAGTTCTGCCCTAGTAGTTACTTGAGCTATAATCTGTAGTGAAAGTTATTGTTCAAGAAGGATATAGACATTTCAGTATTGACATTAAAAAGCGGCGTTAATTTTTCCAGGTAGAAAGTGTTTAGTGGTTGATAGGACTTTAAGGTTAACTGTTTATTTTGGAAGAACATGCATACACTTTCTTTTCTGCTGTCATAATCGACTAAATAAGAAACCAGGAAAATGTCAGTGGAGCATTCTTAAGTTAAAACAAAACAGTGGAGATAAATATTTGTGTGAACCTTCATGTTTCCATAAATCATAATTCTTTTTATCTTGATTAAAAACAGGTATAAAGCGAAAGTATTGTCAGTACAGAAGGAAAGAGTTAAAATACATTGGACTGGTTATAACTTGGATGAGTGGCTTTCAACAAAGAAGGTCAGGTTTGAGGTATGTCTTCTTCAGTGAGTACAATGTATTTCCTTTAGCTGTATATGTAAATCTTTATATCACATTAACCTCAACAGCTCTGAAGAAGCTACATATTTGTATTGCTAGATATTTTGGCTGTGATGTTTTACACTTTGTGAAAGCTTACGAGAATAAATACACATGTTGTACATGTTTGTCTAGTTGAAGACTGGTGACAAGATTGAGGCTCCATGGTTGGTGCACAGAGCAGCTCGATACCCTGGCCATGTTGAGCGTGTTGGTGGAGGTATTTCTAACATTATACAAATAGCTTATATATTCAAATTATGATTCATATTTATTATATACCTTACATTGTTATTGTGTCTAATATATTTCTAAAGCATGTTGAATGTGTTTATACCTGAAATGAAAAGACTGAATGTGTTTTTCATGTTTTTCAGAATATGTGCTAATTGAATTCAGTGACATGACAAAGAAAAGAATTCATTTCAAGTATATTGAGAAGAAAATGTAAGTAATCAGATTATTTCAACTCATACAATATGAATCCATGAATATTTTAGCGGTATGCAGGAATGCTCTTCTGTGCCAAAGTTTGGTTTATTTACCATGTAGAAGCGCAATTGCGCGCCACTGGGTTTTCACCCAACTCAGAGTTACTAAATCTAACAAACTGCAGGCTACCATAGTGTAAGTACTCAAGGCATTGTTCGTAAACTCATGGTAAAGTTTTAGTCACATGACATGTAATATCTGTGAATGTTGTCATTTCTTTATAACTAAGACCTCACTGACGCTGTCACATTTAGGTCAACATTTATGCAATTAGTCACGAAGTATAAAACTCTGCCTGTTGTTTCCTCGCTGCCATTTACCATGTACAATTAACCTTCCTGGAATAAATGAAGTGTGGATGCCTTATGGTGAAGTTATTTTCATTGGGAGGGCTCGGGGTAAAATACACCGCTGTCATATGTTTTTTTGTTTTCTGTGACAGGAACCATCTCTGAAAAGCAACTGGACTTTCAAGACAACCAGACACTGAGATAAGCCCAAGTTCATCAGTTTTAATTACCGAGTCGGAAGAAATCTTGTATAAAGAAATCTCTATCTTTATTTCTATTTCTTCTTGATTTATGTTATGTTAGGTATTTTAATTCTTGAGCAGCATCCTGCTTCTGGAAACCCTTTACCCTACAACTTTAAGTTGTTTTCAATGGGAAAACGTCATGTAATGAAATTTATACTAAACTATCCATAATGTTTGCTGAATTAAAACAATTCTGCTACATGTAACTAAAAAAAAAAAATCTGCCACAGTTTTCACAAGTTAAATTGAAGTAGATCCCAAAGTGGTGCCTTTAGCTATTTACAGATTTCTGTCATTTGTAATTTTTCTCGGTTTCCATGGAAACCATTTGGATTTAGTCTCAAAAAGAAGGGGTAGATTTTCAGTCCGAGTCACAAGTCAAAAACCTTTCAATATCTTTCAACAGAACTTCAGCAGAGCATATTTATAGAAAATTATATTTTTCATGATTTCCATGGAAGCGATTTGGACGTAGTCTAAAAAAATCAAGCTGGACTTTAAGTAACTGCCAGATGATTTGTTCTTTCAAATATGTGGGGGCCGGGGGGATTGTGTCATCTTCTGATGGTTCTTGTTGGAATAGTTGTTAAGTCTGATATTGATTATTCTCCTTGTAAATATCCCTGTCTAGGTAACAATAAGTAAAACACATAATGGTCCCCTGTCATGGTTAGAAAGTTCCTTCTTTTCTTGGAATTATCATGCGTTTTGATGTACTTATTGACCCTACTTATTGATCAAATTGTGTTTAAGGTGTAAGTTTAATTGTCATTGATGTAATGGTTTGAATGCAACTTGAAAGAACTAATTATCACAAAAAGTTATTTAGTTTTAAGATATAAACATCTCATAGGTCTCTCTTGTAACACAGTATTGTCAAGCTTGTCACATGATACAATTCTACTTTCATACATTTTACTTTTGATGACATTAAACATTTGCTATAATCTTTTCTTTGGATATTCAGACCTAAAATAGTAATTAAATAACTGAGAAATTTGTGTTGGTTGAAACGTATTTGGAAGATGTTTCAATAATACCGACATCTGCACAAGAAATCTTTGTAGTTTTTATGTGGTATGTCCCTCACCTCACCTATATTTCATTATTTACATGTTATTCTTGTTATAATTTGTCAAAGTTTTAATTTTTTTGTTCTTTTGTTACAACCAGACTGCCATAAACAAAACCAAATACACCAAAGTGTATGTTTTTCTGTTTGGAATATATATATATATATTTGTATATGTACAGCATGTGTAACTGTAATGTGGTGTATGGCATTTATGAAACAATACATGCAGTTATGTTATATGACCTTGTTTGTGTTATTTTCCCACTGTCTGATGTTAACTCTGCTTTCTGTGATAGTATATCTCATCTTGATTGAATTGTTGAATTTCACCAAGTATTCTTATATTTGGCTGGCCTCATGAAAAGGCTGTTACATTTTTGAAAGTCACATCTACTTGCACACTGCAAATTAGATAATTTCAAAGTAAAATCTCACAAAGAGCAATTCATTTAGATAATTTTAAGGTGTGTTGGTGTA